CCTGTATAATGTAAGTTCAGTGTCAATAATCAGTGGTATTACTATATCGAATACTAATCTGTCGTTCGAATAGTAGATTTTTATTTTTGTAATTTTTTGAAATTCATTTATTTCATATCTCCTTGTCCCCATCGGAATACTGTATATTTTCTTTATATTTTGTTCTATTGCTTTTAATGTTGATGCTAGTTCTTGCGGTGTCATAAGACTTGGATGTATCATACCTTCTCTAGCGGCAGTTACTATTTGCCCCAATATTTCTGTTTCGTAGGAATATTGATTAATAATTATCGTATATAAATTATGTATTTCATTTTTCATTAGTAAGTCTAATATATCGTTTGTTTTGTTTTGTATTTTTGACATTTTTTGGTTTAGTTTTTGTTCCTTTTCCGTAATATTATTGTATAATTGTTCGGTTTGATTTATTGTGTTACCAATACTTCTTATTGTTGATTTTACTACAGTAGTTTGAGCTGCCATTATGTGTAATATATTAGTTCCTGATTCTTCCGTTTTTTGTATAGCTTCTTGTGTTTTCTTAGTGCACTTGTCATCACATATGCCAAATAACGTATGCATGGTGTTACCTATTATGTTTATTAATCCCCTTTTCTTTCTGTTGTTTTTAATGTCCTCCATAGTACTTCCTAGCGACATATATGTACGTTCTTTCTGTTTAGTTATTTCGTTATATAAGTCTGTAATTACTAATTGATATTTCCCACATAAATCTTGATGTTTTTGGTCAGTACATAAATTTATTATATTTTTAATTTTTTCCCCTCAATAAATCAATAAACTTCAATAATAATCAATAATAACTTCAATAAAAGTATGCCCTCAATAATTCAATAAACTTCAATAATAATCAATAAAATATGCCCTCAATAAAATTTAAAACGGTTAACACCATTACACTTATAATCAACTACCTAGATTTATCTTAAAATGTCTTAATTATGTTGCATACGTCTATGTAACAAATTTAAATAACTATTCACTCACAATAATGCTGCGTTCATGGCTGATGATGACATGTTGCCGTTGATGATGCTGCTAATGGATTTGTTGGTACTGCAATGTGACTTATTTGTTTTTTGTTGGTTCCTCCTGGAGTTGTCTTCGCTGAAGAGTGATCAATTCCTCGTTGTTGACAGTAGCCTTTGATGGTTGCCTCCCTTTGTGGAATCCTACGTTCGACTGCGCCAGTGTTACATGCGGCCCTTCAGGGATCCAAAAGCTGGTGTACTTGATAAATAATAATAGTCAATTAGAATGGTAATCAAATGTATTATATTAAACCAGACAAAACAAGCAGAATAATAGTGTTGATTGTAGTGAATTTGTAGCTCGTTCTGAAGTTGATAATTTTCGTGTAAGTCGTGTGTGATGGCTGGGCGGCTAAGCGAGTCGTGTGGTGTTCTCGTCTCTGGATACATCTAACTCAGGCTGTCTCGCTGTCCCCTATATATATGGTGGCGGCGTCCTTTGAAAGTGAGCGGCGCGTGTACAGTCGTCCTTGATATGGACCTCACGACTATGAAAGTGGTATTCGTAGTCGAAAACACTTTTGGGTGTGGTCGCATTCCTGGTTGTTATTATGAGCAAATATATGATATTGCGTAATCCCATTACACTATTACAATTAATTAAATTATGTTATTATACCAGTGTTCCCTGGGTTGAATTTATTTATTGGTTTTTTAATATTGGGTATAACTATTGGTTCTTGCTTACAGGTTGCTGGTCTAGTGAACACCTACCTTAGTGATTATAGTTTATTTAATTAATTGGGTTGTTTATTATTATTTTATTGTCTGCTGTTGACAGTTGAGTCTTAACAGTAGCATTGTTAGTACACCTAGTTATTATATTTATTATATATTTGTATAGCATAAGATTTAGGTGTGCTTCGTGGGTCGTGCCATTGCTCAGGTACTGTACTATAACTTTATATAATAATATTATTACTTTTATTGTTTGTATTATATTATCCTCTCTAGGGTTGCTCAACTGAAGTTTAAGGGTTATATACTACATAATTGTTTATTTCTCTTTTTCATAGTTATTATAATCAATTTAATAATTATAACTAGTATTGCTTTGTTCGGTCACACCTGGGTTCTGATTAAATTATTATTGTAGGTGCTCCCCGAATATTTTAATTTGTCTTAACTGTCATTAGTTGTTATATTGAGTGTGAGCTAGCGTTTAATTAGTTGCTTGTCTAGTTATTGCCTACACCAACGCTCATATTATATTTTTATTAGTTGATTTGTTTATTATTGATTGACGTTGTTCATCTTCTGATCTGTAATTCTATTTTATCAGCTGTATAGTTAGTGTAGGTTGGTGGTTGCATTGGTGTTGCCTATGTCAATTATATCTTCTGACTTTTAATTAATCAATTTGATTGTTACTACTTGATCGTTATCATTTGGCATCGTTGCTCAACGTTTTGCATTGTGTGATTTCATATTAATTATTTGAATAGTTTAAGCTTGCCTGTGCTCTTGCACTTGATCTGTTCTATATCGTATTGACTTTCAACAACTAATCATATTCTGCTCTGTTTGATTACTGCGGTTTGACTGTCTTGTGCATACTAGTGTATTGGTAACATGGTTGACACAGAACGGGATGCCCGAGCTAAGGAGCGAACAATTCTACGTCGAGATGGTATAGTGGCTAGGATTCGCCATATTCATCAACTGGCTTCTAGTTTAGCAACTGACCAGGCTGTTCGGCCTCAGTTAGCTGTTGCTATTCAGGACCTGGATGCATTGTGGGCCAGTTTTGAGGTAGAAAATAATGGATTGTTGTCAATCTTATCTGATTTGGATTTGCTGACCGAGTTTCTGGTAGGGTTGGAGGTTGAGGTCCGATCATTGGTAGTGGAAATTAAGGCTGTGTGGAATGAAGCGCAACCAGCTTCATGTATGAGCATTGGTACTGTTCAGCGAGTGACGTATGAGACCACCGGTGACAATTCGAGTACTTCTGTTGGGTCGTCCAAAGATTGTCCTGTACCATATGCGCCTTCACCTTCGGCAACCATGAGACTACCTGAAATTCCCCTTCCATATTTCGACGGTGAGTGCCAGAACTGGCCAGCCTTTAGGGACTTATTCGGAAATTTGGTAGCCAACAATGACAAGATTCCTAATGTAACCAAGTTTTATTATTTGGTAGAGTGTCTTCACCCCGATCCCCAGGAAGTGATCAAAGGGTTTTCCATTTCGAACGAGTCTTTCACACTCGCCTGGGATGCGTTGGTCGAACGCTATGACAAACCGCGCAGGTTGGCGTCGTCAATCATTGACAAATTGATAAATGCTCCTGTCGCAAGTTCGGAGAATCATGCTGCTCTGCAGAAGTTCCTGTCAGTTTTTGATGAAAATATTGCGATCTTGGAATCGCTTCAGATTCCGGATTTATCGTCGTTTTTGTTGTTCTCGTTGGCTGCTCGGTGCTTACCTACATTTTCTAGACGTCAGTTCGAGTCTGAAAATAACGAAGAGTATCCATCGATCCAGAGTGTGATCAAGTTTGTCAAGGCAAGGATCCAGGTTATCGAGAACGCTGGTGTACAGCCGTCAGGAAGTTCGTCGAAACCGGCCAGTAACAAGAAACCTGTTTTCCGGCGAGATGCTAAGACAACTTTAGTAGCTACTAATTCTTCAGCAGCGGCCAAACCTACATCGTCCAGAATGATCCAAGCAAAGTCAGTTTCCGCGAAGTGCTTCATGTGTTCTGGTGCTCACCAGTTAGCCGATTGTTCAAAATTCAAGGCCTTGTCTGTCGATGAGCGATATAAGATCGTATGCACTCATCGTCTCTGCATGGTCTGCTTTGGCGAAGGTCATATGTCTTTCAAGTGTTCGTCATCATGTGCCACATGTAAGCGCCGTCATCATGCATTGCTACATCGCGATTCGGATTCGAAGACGGTCGGTCCACCAGCTGCCATGCTTGGTCGGCTACAATCCCCAACGGTGCTACTAGGGACAGCTCTGGTCCAAGTGCAGGACACAGTGGGGAGTTGCCGCACTATACGTGCACTAGTCGATTCGGCTTCGCAGATAAGCGCGATAACATCAAGCTGCTGTGAGCGCTTGGGACTCAAACCATCGCGTTGGACAGTTCCCGTCACAGGACTGTCTGGTCAAAGGGTACCGGATGTACACGGCGTTGTTCAACTGACGATCCAGCCGCGAGATCGCCCTACGCCGTCAATAAGTGTCAAACCTTGGGTGCTGTCTTCAATCACTACCGACATGCCAGCTCGGCAATTACCCGCTCAGGTCCGGGCTAGGTGTAGCCACTTGACTCTGGCAGATCCGAGTTTCGACAAACCTGCTCCAGTCGATATGCTCATCGGCGCCGACATCTTTCCACAAGTCTGGAATGATAAGAGCAGTTCGTTAGGCCCAGGATTCCCATCGGTGTACAGCTCGGTTTTCGGTTGGGTCCTGATTGGTCCGGTACAAGAACATCCAGACATTGGAGCTCAGTCAATGTTGGTGTCCTTGGCGTCCTCGATGGAAGCTCTCATGGAAAGATTCTGGTTGTTAGAAGAACCGGACGCGGCTCCGCAGCAGTTCACGGAAGATGGTCTGTGTGAAGAGTTGTTCCACTCGGAAGTCAGCAGGGATTCGCAGGGTCGATTTTCTGTGCCACTTCCTTTTCGCTCAGGCCAACCAGTGAAGTCCTTTCCGGGTTCTCGGCAGGTAGCCCTCAATCGGTTTCTGCAGCTAGAGCGGAGGTTGGCAGCAGATAGCATCTTATATGCAGCTTACCGCAAGTTCATGTCCGAGTATGAGGAACTCGGTCATATGTCCGGGCCGAAGGTGCCGGACAGTATTATATCCCGCATCATGCGGTCCAGAAGGTTGAAGGGGATGATGTCAAGCTTCGAGTAGTGTTCGATGCTTCAGCGAAGTGTCACTCGGGAATGTCCCTCAACCAGTGTCTGCTGGTAGGCCCAAAACTGCAACAAGACATTGTTGATGTTCTGGTTGGGTTCAGGGTGCATAAGGTGGCATTCACAACGGACATCTGTAAGATGTATAGACAGATTGAGGTGCTGCCGCAATACCGAGGATATCAGTACATCCTATGGCGTGAATCACCTCAAGTCTCTGTAAGAGAGTATGCCCTGAACACTGTAACGTACGGGGTAAATAGTGCTCCCTATTTAGCCCTGAGGGTTCTCCGCTTCATCGCCGACACGGAATGTGCAGATCAGCCAGACGTGAAGGGAGCGTTATATAACCAAACGTATATGGATGACATATGTGTTGGCGCAGAGTCCTTGGAAGCTGCTAAAGTGCTGCAGTCTAACCTGATCAAGACTCTTGCCAGATCCGGCCTACAACTGAGAAAATGGGCTAGTAATTCACCGGAGTTGCTGGACCATCTGCTTCCGGAAGATCGTTCTGGAAGTCCGTTGACGTTTGAACAGAATAATGCCACGCATGTGTTAGGCATGTTGTGGAATCATGATCTGGACTATTTTTCGTTTACCGTCAACAACTTTAAATTGGTTCTCACAAAACGAGGTGTGCTGTCTATGATCGCCAGGATTTTTGATCCGCTAGGTATGCTGTCACCAACGATATTTTATGCCAAAACCATCATGCAACGTCTGTGGTTCTCACAGGTTGGTTGGGACAGTCGGATTCCATCGGATATCGCGGATGATTGGTGCCACTTCTACCATTCACTAGGTTGGCTGGTGGACATCCAGATTCCACGCTACATCGGTTGCTACACTGGTTGTAGTTATATTCTCTGCGGTTTTTGTGACGCCTCCGAGAAAGGATATGCGGCTGTAGCGTATCTCCGCGTGACTGATCCGTCCGGAGCTACGGCCACATACCTCCTGGGCGCCAAAACCAAGCTAGCACCAATGAAGACCATGACAACACCACGTCTGGAGCTAAGTGGTGCATTGCTCCTTGCATCATGGTTGGCCAGGCTCAAGCGCATTTTGGAGTTCCAGTTGGGAATTTCTGATGTCTTCGCGTGGTCTGACTCGTCCATAGTTTTATCGTGGTTGAACATCCCGCATACATCGTTCAAGACGTTCGTGTCCAACCGGATATATCAAATCCAGTCCGCAGTACCCGGTTGCCGCTGGCAACATGTGCGTTCTGAGGATAATCCGGCTGACTGCGCGTCTCGAGGTCTCCTCCCTGACGAGCTTAGGCGATGCAAGCTCTATTGGCGGGGTCCGACCTTCTTGCAATCTCCAGTCGAAGCTTGGTCTCAGGAAATTCCACAATTAGAGTTGGAAGAGCTGCCGGAAGTAAAACCAGTGTGTTTATTGACTTGTGAAGATCCTCCAGTCGAATGGTTTATTCGGTTCTCCTCCTTTCACCAGATGATTCGCGTACTAGCTCAGGTACGTCGGTTCATCCGGTTGTGTCAAAGGAGAAAGGTCGAGTTAGGTTTTCTGAAACAATCTGAATTAGACGAAGCTACGCTCGTGATCGTTAGGAGTGCTCAGAATTGTTATTTGAGCCAGCTAGTAGACGGCCTGCGTCGGGGGAGCCCGGTCCAGTCCAAGGCGCTAGCTCGTCTGTGCCCGTTCTTGGATTCAGATGGTATAATCCGCGTTGGCGGACGGATGCAAAACTCCAATTGGTCGGAGAAGCGAAAGCATCCTATGTTAGTTCCGAAAGAATCTCATTTAGCCGTTCTGATCACACGACATTGGCATCTATACGCGTGTCACGCTCGACCGCGTTTGCTCATCGCTCTCGTACAACAACGATTTTGGGTCATTGGCATTCGCCCGATAGTTCATCGGGTGATTCGAAAATGCGTGTTATGTGCAAAAATGTCGGCTGATCATCCACAACCCATCATGGCTGCTCTGCCAGGGTTCCGGGTCCGGGAAGCCCACCCGTTTTCAATAGTCGGCATAGATTACGCAGGGCCTTTGCAAATGAAGGAGCTCAGTCTGCGGAAGGCGCGCATCGTTAAGGTTTACATCGCTGTTTTTGTTTGTATGACCACCAAAGCGGTGCATCTAGAACCAGTGTCTGCCCTCTCGACGGAAGCCTTCTTGTTAACCCTGGATAGATTCGTAGGTCGCCGTGGCCTTCCGTCGTCCATCTATTCGGATTGTGGCACCAATTTCGTTGGTGCGGCGAGGCAGCTGCGTCAATTGGTCAATAGTCCGGACAGTAGAGATCAGTTCTCAGGTCATATTGCGTGTGAATGGCACTTCAACCCTCCTGGTGCTCCCCATTTTGGAGGAATTTGGGAAGCCGCCGTTAAGTCGGCGAAGTCATTGCTTGT